GCCTTAAAAGTTGCAAGGCCGCTGGAATTGATGAAATTCGCCTGAAATGCTATAGCTTTAGGCGAACAAGGCATGTTGTACCTAACGTATGGCTGCGAGGAAGGCTCCAATTAACTGGAACGGGATTTAGTACCCTTTCAATACGGGTGGCACAGGGAGCGCTCTAATTATGGAGAAATTACTTCACTGGACCACCCGGAAATAGAAAGATCAAAGGTACTTGGAGGTTTAGCGGAATAATTGAATCTAAGATATAAGAATGGCCCATGGCTTCACGTCAGGCAGAAGCACCTCTGAAAAAAGTTTTGCCTGATTCCAAGATTTTCGAGAATACGTGGAAATTTTTCGTCTGGTTTACGTGTACCTGAAGAAAGCCCATGACCGGACCCTGCGAAACAAGCTTTGGGCGTCATGCTAACAAATAATCGATGGCCAGTTGCTGACAACTATCCAGCGATTACATTGTAATACATAATTGGCCGTTATGGCGCTGGTTGGTGTGAACGCTCGGTTCTGCAGTCATTACTAGGTAGCTCTCTGTGAGTGAAGTGCAAATTTGCTTTTGTGAAAACACTAATTCTTGTGACGACCCCAAGATGTCCGTGTTTTATCGTTCAAGCTACGGTCGCCAGTGCGAATTTGTGTCATTTGTTGATTATCATCTCTATCAATGATTTGGCTTCGCCATTCGTATTATTTATCGATGCAATCTCTTTGCGAGTACAATGCAAAGCCGTTGTCAAACTATGAATATTAATAATTTCATTACATCGTAGTGACTTCACGAGGCCTCTATGTCAGCGAGCTGTGATTTGATACGGAGTCTGAGTTAATATAACTGCAGGCCGTCATCTGCATCAATTACTTAATTTAACCCTTAACGTTATATAGCGCTCGAAAGCCGGTTGTGAGCTGAATATGAAACTTTCGTCATCAGCATCGATTTCAAGATTGGCATGTTAGTCTGACGATTTCACTGTGGCTATCAAGAAGCTTATTAAATAAACATTAATCAACGTTA